AAAACAAAGTAACTTTGAACGTCACTACATGGGAAATGTCAGCTGACACACCAGAGATGTCTTCGTTGTGCAGGATAGGTAGCAAAGCTTCCTATGTGCTTTCCTGTGTTAGGTTTATGTTCTCACTTCAGGTGGGGTATATCTTTATTTAATGAGGAAAGTGAACAAAATGGCTTAAGCTTCAGTATGTCTGAGGACTAAGAATCAGAAAAAACATGCCCTGAATTAAGCTGACTATTGAAAATAGTTAAAAGCCTAGCAGAAGTTATTGGGTACGTCCTTTGCAATTTTTTTGGTTTGGTTTTTGGCATACAAAGTACTTGGGCATGTGGTTAATTGTGCCTGTAGTGTAACCCAAAAATTTTTTAATATAACACTGCTGGCACCTCTGAAAAATCAAGTACATGAATGTAATTCTAAAATTATATTTGCTGCTGTTGAAAGGTGATTATTAGCCCTGCAGTCACCTGTCTGCTAAACAAGTCTTGTTTAAGCAGCAGAAGTTCTCATGCCTTTTGCTCTGGGGTGTGTAGGACCTCAGTCCTACTTTGGTGGAGTGTGGTGGGGCAAGAGAGTGGTTGTGTCTGGTGCCTAATTCTTCACTCGTTTTTCCACCAAAGCTGCTCAGTGGGTATCTGTTCGTTGATGGGTGATTGATTGTTTTGGCATGGGGTTCTTCACTGGAAGCTGCAGAGATCTTCCTGCATTGTCTGCCCTCCCCTTTGCAGTGGGAAGATAGCCTTCTGCCAGTCATAGCTTTCAGTCCTTGTTGTCACACAGTTCCTCAAGCTCTTGAGCCAAACAAGGTCTTTTTTTTTTTTTTTTTTTGATTCAAGACTGGTCTAGAAGCAGAGTGAGCACAGTCTGTTTCCCAGATTTTGTAAGCCACCCAAGTCCCCTTTTAAATATAGTTATTAGTTACAGTTTGTATTTTGTAAATATTTTCTTTGCAGTGATTTATGGCTCTTAACCTCCTCATTATGATTCACAACATTTTGGACCGCGTGCTTCCTGGGGGAGAGGACGGGGGCTTGTTTTTTGTTTTTCTATAGCATGGACCTGAAGCATTTCCAGTTCTAGAAGCAAGTGGGAGATGGAAACAGAATGTGCTGGGTATTAATAGTCCCTGTGCTGGCCTGTCGCACTGGTGTTTGGCTCGCCGGGGAGGTAGCCCTCTGTCTGGCCACACAGATGGAGATCTGCTTGGAGCTCAGGTGATGCTGGAGCCCCTGCCTCTCTCCCACCGAGGAGAAAGCCTCAGCAATTGCTTGTTCACCAGCTGCTTTAGGACAGAAGAGTCTAGTCGAGAGGTGGGAAGATGGTTGTAGAGCTGCCCTCAAACCTGTCAGAACATCCTCGTGCTGCCAGGTGTCCTTCTCCCCTTTCACATGTGTACACCCATGCTCCTCTTTGCGGCTGCCGCTTCTTGCTTAGGGTTTCTGTACAGCCATCGGGTGTAAGGGAGGAGCTGGCACAGGCAGCAAGTAGTTAAAAATGAAGCGCAGATTGCACGTGTCCTGAGCTCTGATGCTTTTCTCTGTGACCTTCAGCAGAGCTCAAAGCTTGCATGTGTGGGCCTGAATGACATTATCACCTGCAAAGTGTATGTTACGCAGACTGTGCTGAGGGGGTAAGGTGGATCCAATACTGTTTCTAAATGCAGGACCTTTGCCGCAGCATGTCTCTGTGTTGCCTGATGACAGGGGAACAAGTATCAGCTCCCTTCGCAGCCGAATTGCTGTTAGCGAGGGGAGAGGGCTGGTTCTGTGCTGTGAAGTGTTGATGTGAGGCCAGAAATAAAGAGCTGAAACTTGGGGTGGGGAAGGAGTCGGGGTGGGGAGTGGGCACTCAATGAAATGCGGGCTTTTATCATCTGGCTTGGTCAGGGTAGCGCTGCTGCCAGTCTCCATTATGTGCTGCCTGAGAACAGGCTCCAGGCTTTTCCTTTCATCTCCTTCGTAATGAATTAAGACAAGGAATAACTATAAAAGGAAAAAAAAAAAAAGGCAAGATCTGAGGAGACTATTTCTTTCATTTATGTTGTAGGTGAATGTGTGGCAGTAGACAAATGTATTGAGATAATGTTATAGTGGCTGAAAGTTCAAATCTTACCTTAAGGCCATGGATGATAGAAATGAGGGAGCTACAGCATCCAGAGAGAGAAGGTATTTAATGTTAAACTACTGATGAAAAATCAGGCTATGTGAAAGCCTGAACAGCGTTTAGGGACTCTTAGTGTAGTCGAGAAGCTAAGAGTGGACCGAGATCCCCTGTTCCTTCTATTGTTTCTCCTCTGTGAAGCCTTTGGCTTGCTGTACGCATCTCACGTGCTGCAGAACCGCTCCTGCGTGCCAGCACCCCCCTGCCATATGCAGGAACAGCTGTGAGTGTCTTTGAGCAGGCCTCTGCACATGATACATCGCACCCTTGGTAAGAACGGAGTTCTGCCCTCTGCCTGCGAACAAATGGATGGGAGAGGAGTGCAGATGACCTCCCGGCTTCCTCCTCTGTGGAAGTGGCAGATCCAGTCCTGTGCAGCCTATATTTGAATTTAAAGACTAAAACGTTTTTGTCAGCACTGTTCAGAATCTATGCCTTTCCTCATTCGCTGTGGAAGATGCGCTAGTGTGTGTGTTTTAGGATGTAGCTGTGTGCACGGGTGGTTGCCCACTTGCCAATTCCGTGCAAAGCCTTAGAAAACATAGGGTTTGTCAAATTGCACTAGCAGGGCTCCAAACTGGATTGTAGAGATCCCTTTTGGCAGGAGTCTTGATGATTTGGGGGAGTTATTTTGGAGCACTCACTTGGAGGTGTTGTGCATGGTGGTGATGGATGGGCTCCTCCGGTGTTTTGTCCTTCTTGGACAGATTTGCCCTGAGGAGCAAAGGTCTCTGATGGAGCCATAAAAATAAAACCACCAAACAGCATGGTGTGATTTAATCACAAGCCAGCTGCATCGATTCTTCCCCTGGGGTGCACTCTCTGTATATTTGGAGATGCATTTTGGCATAGGGGTGAGGGTAGGAGAAGAGGGGGAACTTGGAGAGAGGGAGGCAGCTTTTGAGATATGATCGAATGGAAGTGTCTGAGGTGGTTCTTGAAAATGTGATGTTTGGGGGATGGAGGAGTCTTAGCCAAATAAAAATACTTCATCCTGCTAGGATTCTCCTGAAGCTTGCATGGCTGTGGGACGTAGAGATATTCGCAGGGTGGTATTTATATTAACCAGATAAAACATGTTTTGTGCTGCCTGCGCAGCCCTGCTAAAATAGAATGGAAAGCTGCCACTGCTTTGCTCAGCATGACAAGACTCCAGTGCTTACTGTTTGCTTGCTCTTGCCAGTGCTTCGTAACCAATATGCAAGTTCAAGGTCGTGTCTGTAAGAGACATTTCTGGCCAGAAGCAGCTCTCTGGATGTCGCTAGTTTAGTTCTAGTCTGTGGAGAGAGGTTTCTTTCCAAATACTCGTGAAGTGCTGTGTATTGAACGATGTGCAGAGCAGTCTAGCAAGTCCAGTCAGTGGTTGGGGAGTCAGTGTGGGCAACTCCCCTGAGATTTCTTTCCTCTTTGGTACACAAATTATGTATTTAAAGAAAAAAAAAAAAAGGTTCCAAAACAGGAAAAAACCCCTCCACCTACTCTTAAATCTGGATTTTTAAGGCCTGCATGTGTACTTGAAGGTGCCTAAAAAAGGCTGACTAGCAATTACATGGTCCTTGCTTTCTCACAGAACTTCTTTTCACTTGATGGGTTAAGGAAGGAGTCGGATTGGTGTCTAAAGAAATGAAATGACACTTAAAGTGCATCACACAGGTGGGCAAAGCATGACTGCTAGGAGGCTGAGGCAAGCAGCAGGAGATAGAATGAGTGGGTGGGTGCTCTTTGGATACCTTGGCCTGTCAAAGCGTGCTCTTGGGAAGGGGCAGAGCAAGAAAACTGACCAAATTGTAGCCTGCTTTGTTCTGTACCTCAGAGTTTTTGAGGTCATTTTTCTGACTAAAGTGTGAAATGCACCATTTTTCTCATCAAGCCATTTTGGAAAGGGGCCTTGCCTTTCTGTTTAGTGCTGTGCTCAAATTTTACCACTTCTTGGTCTAAGCCCACTGTGAGTGGCTGAGGTTCTCTTCCTTTCTTCTCCCCTGCCAGTCATCTCTGTGGGGGCGTTGGGTCTCTTGTCTGGCACGCTGGTCTGCCTCACTCCTCTGCCTGCTTGCTGTACTTTTTCTGTGCACGAGTAACCCTGGCCAACCCCTTGACCTGGCTTTGCTGTACCGGTCGGTACCTGGGAATGTTGGAACAAATTCTCTTTGTTTTAGTTGTGGAACTGGTAGCAGAAAGCAACGCTTGGAGTTTGTAGAAGTCCTGCGGTGGTAATGGCTGTTTCCTGTCCCTGGGCTGACTGATTAACTTTTCTTGTACATTTACAAAAGACATCCGTAAGCTGTTCATGTGTGGATTTTACTATTTAATTATAGATCTTCTTTCGGGGTAGTGTTTCTCTGAAGGGAGCTTGACAGAGCAGATGCCGTTTTGCCTGGGGATGCATTTCTGGTATTGGCCCAGTGAAGAGCTGCCACTTCAGCTGTGGGATTTTGATGATTGCAGGAACATCCTGCCACATGAGATTAGAGTGGCGGTACTACCTCCCAGCTTCAGGATGTGAAAGATCCGCCTCTTCATTAGAGCTTTCGTATGGTGGTAGCTGAAGTGAGGAAGAACGGGCGAAAAGAGAGAAGCAATTTAAGAAAACCAAAGGCAAATCTGCTAAGCTAAAAGGTGATACGAGGGGAGGGAGGCTGAGATCTCATTACTGTTTACTCGTAGAAAGGGAGGGGAAGAACAACAGATCAATTGTTACTGGTTTTATCAAAATAATTGTCAGGTGCTAGATAACACAATTGCAAGTGTAGTACTAATACCTAAAAAGAGACAGGCAAAGCATGTGGAAGGAATTTGTGTGGTTTCTGTTCACACAGGCACTTTTGTCTTTCTGATTTCAGCAGACAGAAGGAGGGGCACAGACAGATGGACAGCAATCACAGACGCAGAGCAGTGAGAATACCGAGAGCAAATCCACTCCAAAACGGCTTCATGTGTCTAACATTCCCTTCCGCTTTCGAGATCCTGACCTTCGGCAGATGTTTGGGGTAAGTCACCAGCGCCTTTTAAGGCATGGCAGATTCTCCTTTCCCACAGGTGGGACATGTGGTGCTGGTGTATTCATGTGAATAAAAAGCCCTTCCCCTCAATTTAGTCAGCACACTGTAAAATATTTGCAGGACTAGGACAATTGGTAGTGTTTACCTCAGCTGGTAAATACACATGAAAACTACAACTGCATTGTTCATATCAAGATGTTCAGTGTAACCTAACAATTGGTTTAGGGGGAAAAAAACCCCAACAAAACGAAGCTTCACCTTACTTCCTAGTAAAGACTAGGATTAAACGTTGACTTAATATATCCCTCGCAAAGCACTGTTTTTCAGTTGCTTAGAAACTTGTTGAAATATTTATGTCTTTCCTCATGATCCACTCATGTGATGAAAAATTCCACAGCAATTGCATGTGGAAAAGCTAGTGCAAGTCATATGGTATTTTACATTGTGTATGATATACATTCTGTTTCTTTTGACCAAATAATTTGTCTTCCTTAATCTTCCTCAGCTATTCATCATTCTCAATTTATAAGCTCTTTGAGGAAGAGTTCGCTCACATGAGTATGGGTGGTGACTCATTCCATGTGAACACAGAGAGAAATGAGCTAGGTGCTTCGTGACCTAACCTTCAGGTGAAGTTATCTATGTATCATCACCATCAGGAATGTTTGACTTATTGATGGTAGCATGTTTTAAAGTCTTCAGAAATATTATTTATAAAGTTAACAGTTGCTGCTTGTTTAAGATGCAGTGCAGAGGACTCAGGTCAGGACAGACCAAAACTAAGGTTCCTCTTGCTACCTTAGGCTTTGAGCATGTACCTTGGTCCTAACTGCATAGCCGGCTACTCCTCCAAATTCTGCAGTATTCCTGTTTCAGTTGTTGCATCTCTTGAACCATCTGTGTGGGTGTGTATGTATGTCTCCTCACATGGAGAGTGGTGTTACAGTATTGTAAACGTGTCAAATTCATGGACTTCAAGCTTAGGCTGCTGTAAATGAGAGAAGAATGGGGCTTACCTGTTCACAGCTTGGACAGCACAAAGTGAACGAAATGTGCAGAAATGTTAAAAATTTCATTGATGGTTTTCAGCAAGAGTTCCAATTGCTATATGTTGTGAGAGATCTTTGCTTCTTGTTCTTGAACCTTTTTGTGTCCGTAAGAAGCTGTTTCGTGGATGAGGCAAAACGGAGAGGAGTGGTCAAAAAGCAAGAGAGCAAGGCTGCTATTCAGAGGGACATGGCCAGGCTAGAGAAATGCGCTGACAGGAATCTTGAGATACTCAACAAGAGTGAGCCTTCCAGTTTGGGCTCCCCAGTGCAAGAAGTGCACTTAATCTAAATGAAATATACTGGAGCAAGCCCAGTGGGCACCACTAAGATGGTCAGGGGGCTGGAGAACGTGGCGTATGAGCAGAGTCTTGAGACCTGGGACTGTTCAGCTTTGAGAAGAGAAAGCAGAGGGGGGATATTTTTGTCGTCTGCAACTATCTGATCAGAGGATACAGAAAAGATGTGGCCAGATTTCTTTTTGTGTGTGTGTAATGGTGAGATGAGAGACAACAAACCCAGGTTGGACCGTTGGAAGTTTCAATTACGTATCTGTAAGATGTTTTTTTTTTTTTATAATTTTTTTTTACTGTGAGGGGGTAAATAGTGGAACATGTTGCTCAGAGAGGGTGTGGAACCTCCATCCGTGAAGGTATTTGACTTGAGTGGACACAGCCTAGCCAACCTCGTTAGACCTGCTTTGAGCAGGGATTGTGCTGAATGACCTCTGGAGCTAGGTCCCAGCCAAAATTATGATTCTGTGATTCTGTTGCAAGAGGCCTGGGTTTGCTTCCGTGTTGTTCATATGTTAGATTGTCACATTCTTGACATCTGTGGAAATGTTTTCAGGGTGAAACTCATCTCCTGGCAATCTGTGATTGCTGAATCTTCTCAGTTGCCTGTTCTGCTTTTGTGTTTTTTAGCTTGCTTTTTGCTGTTGCAGGGCCATGCGGTAGGCAGTTCCGTCCGGTTTGGGTAAACCGGTTGCTGAAATCACAGCCAGTTCTTAGACCACCTGCTACAATCTGTATTTAGCACGTCCTGCTCTGCTGCTGCTGCTGCTCTCCTCTCCTGGGAGCTGCATCGCTTACATAAATTGTTCCACGTTTTTGCTGCCCCTTCCCTTGGGGCTGGTGCTTGGCTTGACAGCCGGCCCCTTTCATGCTCGTTCACCTTGATGCTGTTCCTAACTGTGCCCCTGGTGTGGGGGACGTGGATAAGATGGAAATGACAAGAATGTCCCTGTCCTGGTGACTCTTACTTCTGATTTGCAGATTGTGAGACCTAGGCAATTTGAATGAACTGCTATCCTGAGAAGTGACTTGCAGAAAATGCAGCCTAACTGCTTCCATTAAGGTTTCCTGTCCTTTTTTGGGCCCTTGTGGTGCCACTTGTACACAGAAGGGGTGTGGAAATACGCTATATGAATTGGTTTCTTCTGTTCCTCAAGTTATTTGTTGTTAGTTTGTTTTTTCTCTAAACATCATCAAGTTCCAGCAGTGATATGATTTTAACTGGGATAAATAGTATATTCCCTATAAAACCTTTTGCTACTTCACCTGGTCCTGTGTTTGCCGACAGGTATGCCTACCAGAAGAGCATTTGTCTTTTTAGGCCCCAAAAAAACATGTGCTGTTTTCGTGTAATAGAGAACTTTGCTGCTTTGCTAAGGAAATAATCAATGGTTCTTGCACATTTCCATTTTTCTCTCAGTGCTGCTTCTCTCACCCTGCTCAGAGCCTCGAGCAGGAGAGCGTTTCTCTGAATCCTCCTTGTTCCTAGTTCTTTTTCAGGATCAGGATGCTTTCCCTTGGGTGACTCGCTGAAACCAACCCTTTCTCCTCCAGGAAACTCATAGTTGTCTGAGTCTTCAGCTATGGCTAGCCTGTAACCCCAGTCTTCTCCCTCTCCCTTCTGTGTGTCAGGTCGCATCTCCTCAACGTCATATCAGAGAGACTCAAAATCCTTGCCTGGAGTGATTCTCCCGAGCTACTATACAAAGAGAGGAATTGGGTAGACAGCAAAGCCGTGGAGGAAGAAATAAATGTGATGGTAGGGAGGCAGTAAAGTCGTCCCCTGAGGATGGAACAGCATGCAAGAGGTCAGCCCAGTCCTGGGGCGCAGAACATTAGCTAATGCTTTCATCCGGACTTGAGCAGAGGTGGACTTGTCCCATGTGTGGTTAAATGGATATTACATAACACTTTCTAAACCTTCACCATTTGTGAGAGCTGCAGACATAAGGATTTCTTGACAAATTCAAGTTATTTGGGTTTTAAACCATCTCTTGCCTATTACGTGTTTCTGACAGGTCCCTGAGATATCCTCAGGAGTGGAGCAAACATTTCCTTATGTATATGCTTCTTATAGGGAGGCAAATAAGATAGGCTGCTTAAAACAGGTAATATTTACTTGACATTTCATGATGCCAATAAAAAGACTTCCAGAAAGCTTCTAGAACGAATAGGTCATTTTTTAATGCACACAGTACCGCACCCACTGTGGAATAAATCAATAGTTGACCTTGTTCTAGCAGATAAAGAAGAGTTAATAGCTGACCTGAAATCCCACGGTTGCCTAGGTACCAGTGATTGTTATTTGTCTGTATTTACTTCGTACAAGCAGAATATGGCATCAGGCAGTAATGTAAGGAGGTTTAGAAGAGTCTGTTTCTTCAAGTTTAAACAATTGGCAGGGTAACTGCCAGGGAAGGTACCTTTAAAAGGGAAGTGTTAATGGAAACTGTAAGGTATTCAACAAAATCATGCTGATGGCCAAAAAGGCATGATTCCACAGTCGCTGCAACTGTGTAAATAAAACACAAAGCATGCTGCACGTTAGGCAGGGGAGATGAAGAGGAGGAGGAAGTAAATGGCAGCAAATAGAGTTGCAAACTTAAACAATGAAGCGGGTGAGAAAGGAGATGTGCTGATCATGGAGATATTGATGATGTGGGTTTAGAGGTGAAGGCATCAATTTTTTACATGCAAGGAGAGAAGTTCTGGGTGTAGGTACAGTATAAAATTAGGAAGTAGTTGAGTGTTTTCAGGAAAAAAACCTCCCAGTAAGAAGAAGACAAACAAAAAACAAACAGAAAAACCAACAAAAAACCCCATCTTGCTGTGTTCATGATTTAAGAGGAGGTATTTGCACCATATCTGGTTTTGTATATAATTTATAACAAAGGAGGATGACACAGTGCTCACTAATGTTTAAAAGCCAGCAGATTTATATAAGGTACATCCAAAGATACTAGCCAAAGCAAGGAGCTCTTTTTTTCATTAATATAAATTTTTAGCCATTTCTTGTAAGCTTAGGGGAGTTGCAGAAGGCAGGAATACTGCCCACCGGGGTACACTATTAAAAACATTGAAAGGGGTGACCCAAAGAGCTACAAACTTATCTATCCACATGTTGATCCAAGACAAAAATACTTTTGGAAAGTTTTAAAAAACATTAGAATCTGAAGAAATTGTTTAATATCTATTAAGTGTGACGATGTATAAGGTAATACACATCTTTGCATACAAACACCGTCTTGTCTGTTTTGACAAGATTGTGCAAAGCAATACTGATATAGTTGAACATTGCTCAACCAGCTGAATTTGTCCACGTGACCAGTGCTGATTTTTAAGAAAAAGAATACTCAAATAAAAACAACGCACATTAGAGAGATTAAAAACTTCTTTCATGATAGGTAATAAAACGTGGTGGTTGTTGGGGAGACATCAGTGATCAAGACTGTTTCTAGTGTCAGTTTCCCCAGGGATCTGTTTCTGTCACAGTCCTGTTCACTATCTGTATCGACCCATGGAGACAGTACTATAAAAACCTTGCCGGTAAGGTTTGCAGTTAAAAAACTATTTGAGGAGGAGGAAAGAGGAAGATAAGGTTACTGTTAGAGAATTACTTGAAATGCCTGGTTAACTGATAAGTCCATCA